GGCGGTGGGTGCGGGCAGGGACGGGGGCTCGCTGGCCCCGCAGGGCGCCCGGCTGGGCACAGGCACAGCAGAGGGGCCGGTGGTGGCCCAGGCTCAGGATGGGGGAGGCCAGCGGGACCTGTGGACCCAGGACAGCCCCGGGGCACTGGGTGTCCCTGTGGGTGCTGCTGGCCCACCCCGACGGAGGAGCCGATGCCACGCAGCAGCCAGCGGAGCGGGCGCTGCTCGCCGGGATACCCCGGTGCTGCGAGGGCTGCCCAGCCCCACAGCGGAGGGTGCCTGGCCCGGCTTGGTGCCAGCAAACGCTTCCCACCATGATGAGCCCTGCGAGGAGGGCCCCGAGCAACAGCACCCCCAGCACCCAATGCTTGGGGCAGGGGGCACAGCTGAGCACCGGCACTGCACGGGGATTTGCAGCTTCCCAGTTTCAGTCTCATCCTACAAGAAAGATGTTGGAAAGATTTAATTTTTGGGAGGGATGATTGGAAAAAATAAGGACTTCATCTTATACTGTGTTGGCTGGCCATTTAACAATGGGCCATTAGCAGGGCTCAGCATGGGAAAGGATTTATTTAGGACACACGGTTGCAAAGACAACCCAGCACCAGGTGCTTAATAGTGTTTCAGAGGTATCAGAGTGTTGCAGTGCTCAGAAAATGCAGCTGTAGGGAGTTCAGAGACTTTATTCTTCACTTCTGTGAAATCCCACAATACCAGTAGAGATTTCTCAGCTCTACCCTAAGCACAAAAGTAGTGTGGAGAAAGCGGCAGCTTTGCAGGGCCGAGATGCCAGCCAGCTCCCAGGCACAGCGCACCCAGCTCCTGCTGGCACGGCTCAGCCTGGCACCGGGCATTCCTGCATCCTCGACCCTGCCCGGGGATGCTCACAGGGCCTGTCAAACCCAGGGGTGCCCCTCGGCCCCCAGCAAACGCACCCTGGACATGGCACAGGGGAAGGGAATGTTCCCCAGCCCTGGGAAAACCCTGTCTTCCCTGGCTGCTGCAAGAGCCTCCTTTTCCCATCCCCAGCACCTCGTGCCATGTCTCTGGGCAACCTCAGGGCACTGGCTGGCTCTGCCTGAGCTTCCCCTGGCTCTGACAGACTGGCCAGACACCGTCACCCACCAAGAGCCTCCTCGCTCTGGCAGCCACTGCAGTGCAGCCCCAGCTCCAGCCTGTCCTGCCACCAGCGCCGGGGCAGCTCAGCGGGCACCGACATGTCCCTGCCCGCCGGTGGGCACAGAGGTCCCGAGAGCAGGGCTGGGATACTGGGCAAGACCCCTCGTGCCCGCTCGTGCTGCCCAGCGAGCGCAGGGTCCCTGCCAGGGCCGGCTGCCGAGGCATTGGGAGGGGGTTCCCAGCACCCGTCACCTCTGCAGCTCAGCGAGAGCTGCCGTGTTTGTAGCAGCCGTGACAACCAGCCCCGTCCCCAGCACAGCCCCGGGAGAGACAGGGTGGAGGGACAAAGGCGCTGCGGGGGCCCCGGGGGCTCCCCCCTGCCAGCCCTGAGCCAGTGGAGCCGGAGCCCAGCCAGAGCAGCACAGACATCGGAGCTGGTGGTCGGGGCACCCATGACAGCCCTCAGCAGACCCCTCGCACCCCAGGATGGGGCAGGGCGGCAGGGCCTCTGCTCCTCTTACCACCCGTGTGTTGAGCACTGCCCAAATTTACCTTCAAATGAAGTGTCCATGTGCACCTCACGGCCTGGGTTGCACCCACCCAGGGCACAGGTGAGATCCAACCATCTGCCCCCCCTGCTCACACGGCCCCCCAGTGACTCCCAGCATGTCCCAGCGCATCCCACGTCTTGCCCAGGGTTCCCACAGCTGCACGGCTCCCGGCCCTCCTCAGCCCCGTGGCCGAGAAGCGGAGCCAGGGAAAGGCCCTTTGCTGGACCCAAAGCGCCTGTGAGCGGGACTGTGCCGCGGGGCCGCAGCACCGTGAGGGTCCGGCGGCAGCGGGTGGCAGGGCCGGGGGCAGGACCTGAGGCCGTCCCGCGCAGGCAGCAGGGCAGCAGTGTGCCGAGGTGGAAGTAAAGAGTTACTGAGCAAGCAGACGTTCAATAATTCATGGTCACTGAACTGCAACGGCAACAACGACAAATAATAATACAGGAAAATGAGGAAAAACCTGAAATCGTTAGGCCAATGGTTCAAGCATGAAGCGAGCCTGCCGAGGGAGCGGGGCGGCTGTCACGCCATGTGCAGGGAGGGGGGCGATGCTGTCTGCACTGCGGGGCTCTGCCCCAGCCTGGCACCCCCAGCCCAAGGACCCCCCCCCGCGAGGGCTGTTTGGGGCACGTGCCCAGCCCAGGGGGTGCCGAGCAGCGCTGGGTGCCAGCCCTCAGTGCCCTTCAATCCTGGTCGGCGCATGGGGAGCTTGTTCACGTCTCCAAGAGGCAGGGAAGGCAGATCTGCTCTCCCTAATTATAATTAGTGATGCTTAGCATGGGAGTTTGCAAACATGGTTTAATTAGAGCAGCCGGGCTCCCTCCACTCACTGCACCCTCCCCGGGGTCAAGGGCAGAGCAGAGGAAGGGAAGTGGGAGCTGGGGGATGCTCAGCAGAATTTGGCTGCTGGGCCCACACAAGATTTATGCCTGCTCTTCGCCTGCAGCCACAGCCCAGAGGGCTGGCAGGGCTCGGCTCCACAGAGCTCGGCTCAGCTCGGCTCGGCTCGGCTGGCCCCATGCACCTGCACAGACCCTCTCCCAAGGACCTGCCCACGCCAGGACGGAGCTCTGCTGCCTGGACGGGGAGGACGCCGGCGCCCACGGCCTCAGGCAGAGGCCAGCAGACACCGAGCTGGGAAATTTAATCTACAGCTACAAGAAAGGGCTGTGGAGTCTCTAGGTGCATGAGCCTGCTGCTTCTGTCAAGAAGAAAAATAGGAAAGGGGTGTAGGGAATTAGACAAAAGCCACGAAGCAGAGAGGGAGGGCGGGGGGTGTCAGGGAGAGCAGGCGGTGGCCGCTGGCAGCCCCAGCGCGGGCACGGCC